ATAATCTTAGTGTGTAGGGCTGGTCAGCATTTAATGATAGAAATTTATGCGTCTATATATTATTACGTTGTACGATGTACACACAAAAATTCTTAAATATTGTTCGGTACTTTTTTTGCTGAATTCGTTCAAGGCATAAAAAGTAATAAGGACTAGGAGGTGTTCCTTTGATTACTGAAAAATCCTGTTCCCCTAGTTTGAAGTAGTCAAGACTAGGAATCGATGGTAGATCTTACATCCCGTCGTGCATCCCGTAACGTTCCGCGAAAAGGTGATCTAGGATTGATAATGTTCGTTAAACTTAATAACCTCAAATTTCTCACAAATGATCAACAATTCACTATCGTTGCTTAGAAAAATGTCTATTATTTCGAAAATGCTAATTGTTTCCTTTAAGAGGTTACTGAATGTTAATCCTCTTTTGTATAGTGCTTCACATTTAAAAAAAAACTTTTTAATTTAACGGATGTTTTATCAATACTGTAAGAATTGAAATCAATGATTATTCAGGCGAGTATTCACTTATTTCACTGAAATTTAAATATATTACCGTGTGTAAATGCGACTTGCGATTGAAAACGATTTAGATGCAGCCAGCAAACAAACAATTTCAAGCAAAACAAATCGAAGATAAAAAAGAGCGATGACATCAGAAGTTACAACCCGCATAAGCGCGAACCATAAATTGACCTTACCGATAATGGTTATAAATTGTTTATAATCCCTGCTAAACTTCAACTGAAATGGTTATGGAACTTTACATGAACGTTTAATGATAAAGTTTTAACCTTAAGTATTATAGTTTTTTGGAAGTGGACCTTACAAATAATGGGTTGTTAAGAACCATTACCATTCAAAATTCTTGTTTTCTCCATACATTTTCGGAAAGAAAACTATACTAAAACCTTTTAATTTATGGTTTGAGAACATTAATGGTAATGGTTATGGTAACCAGTAAGGTCCATGAATGGTTTTGTAACATCGATCAACTTTATGTGGAATATATCGCGAATTGGTTGCCTGTAAATTACTGATTACCAATTCACGATATATTTCACGTAAAGTTGAGCGATAATACAAAACCATTAATGGACCTTACTGACTACCATAACCATAACCATTAATGTTCTCAAACCATAAGTAAAAACGTTCTAATATAGTTCTCTTTCCGAAAATGTATGGAGAAAACAAGAATTTTGAATGGTAATGGTTCTTAACAACCCATTATTTGTAAGGTCCACTTCCAAAAAACTATAATACTTAAGGTTAAAACTTTATCATTAAACGTTCATGTAAAGTTCCATAACCATTTCAGTTGAAGTTTAGCAGGGATTATAAACAATTTATAACCATTATCGGTAAGGTCATGTGATGGTTCGCGTTTATGCGGGAAACTAATATGTTGGTTCATTTCCAAATATCTTTTAGGTTGGTATTTACCCAACCTAAAATTTAGTTTGTTTATACCTAACATCTACGTTGATGTTAAAATGAAACAGTTAAGAATAATACGTATCTAACAACCTAATACCGCGTTCACATTACAGCCTATATCACGTAATATAGGCTGTCTTGCAATGAGCACTCATACATAGGATTTCCAGTGAAAACTAGATGTATGAGTGCTCATTGCAAGACAGCGTATATCACGTGATATACGTTGTAATGTGAACGGGGTATAAGTTTTGGTTCATACAAATCTGTTTAGGTTTGAAATTAACTATACCCTTAGTTTGAATCAACCAAAAATTATGTTGAGGCAGTATGATTATATGGGTAGAAACCAGGTGATAAAGTCGTTTATTTCAAATTAACTCACTGGTTTGCAACAAACAAATATTGACTTTGATTCATCAAGAATATTAGTTTGAACTTCTACCATATTTTTGGTTGCTTCAAATTAGACTCATTCTTCTCCGTGTTCTATGAACTGATTAACAAGGGTCAACTCAAGCTGAACGTTGCAAATATTAGACCTGCACTGCTTACTAATTTAAAATAAATCCAATTTTGACAGCGTTTTTTACAGCTTGACATCATTGTTAGTTTCGCCCTTTTGAAATGTTGATGCCGCATTGACGGTGAGTCACATATTATACATACCCTCGTCTTGTTACTTAGGCTCTGAACCATTTGGCGAATTATTTTAACTTTTGGTTAAAATTTGACAGATGGAAAGTTATCGAATAACCCTGCTATCCGAGCGTGGTTACTTCTGACAGACAAGAAGTTAAATTTTGACAACTGTGGCTCGAAAACCGGTCGATCGACAGCACGGGGATTTTCGAACATAAGAAATAACTTTCGAAATGTCACTTTTAACCACGAGTTGAATTTAACTCGGCAAATGGTTCACAGCCTTAGACTGTGCACCATTTGCCGAGTTGAATTTAACCGAAGACAACTTATAAAGAAGACTGGCAACTCTTCCATTTTCTCATATGAACGCTATGAGACAGGTACAAATGCGTTGTTTCCACCTTCACTCAAGCGCAGCGCTACTGTAGATGTCGCGCGGATTCTGGTAATGTTGCCAGTCTTCTTGATACGATGTCTTCGATTTAACTCTTGATTAAAAGTGACATTTCGAAAGTTATTTTCTATGTTCGAAAACCCCCGTTGCTTTCGATCGACCGGTTTTCGACCCACGGTTGTCAAAATTTAACTTCTTGTCTGTCAGAAATAACCATGCTCGGATAGCAGGGTTCATCGATAAAGGCCCAAGCGCAATGACAGCGGAAGCGGAACGGCAGCGGCAGCGAAAAAGCCCGATCTGAGTAAGCCTACTTATCGGATTGAAAACTTGTTAAATCCAAATCGACATCGGTTAAGCTTCTTGATGTCATTTGTGACAACTGTCAAACTTTCCGTTTCCGTTCCGCTTCCGTCCACATTGCGTTTGGGCCTTAATGTCCATCCGTCAAATTTTAACCAAAAGTTAAAATAATCCACCAAATGGTTCAGAGCCTTATACCCCGGACAGACTATGGCTTATATCATGTAATATAGGCTGTCTTGCAATGAGCACTCATACATCTAGTTTTCACTGGAAATCCTATGTATGAGTACTCATATCATTACATGATATAAGCCATAGTCTGTCCAGGGTATTGGCGTCTTGCAGTGAAACTTTTCCAAGCTTTCGCCTCCTACATTTCGAAGTGAGAACTACTAGAAGGAGGATAGTTTCCAAATTTTCCAAGTAAAACAGACGATTTTTGGGGCAAATCGGTCCATAAAGAAAAACTAATAATTTCCCGTGGAAACTTTTGCTTGAATCGTGTAAGAAAACGTGTTTGAAAACTAATTGTTATTATTTCGGTATGGATCGGAGATGTTTTCATGGAAAATAATGCATAACAAGTTTGCACCCACAGCGAGAGGTTACCTCCTGCGCAGCTGCATTTTTCGGAAAATTGTGAATATGTGCGATTTCCACTAAGATGAGAGTGGAAATTAAGTGAATTTACTTAGGAAAGGTTGTATCATGCTGGTGGTAATGGAGAATTGGTTGTATAGGACGCCAATATTCAATAAATGTTCATTTTGGCCTTTTCTAAGCAAACATATTGATACTCACAATTTTCGACGGAAAACGCAACGGAACTTGCTTTACTCAACACGCACCATACTATAAAATGGTGCTAGATGGTTTTCAAAGTGATAACAAGATGACAAATCATCTTTATTTTGAGTAATTGAGCAATTTATTTCTGTTTATACATCATATTTACGATGCAGCATTGATGGAGCCGCGAAATGAAATGAATATATCTTATGAAAGTTCAACTGGAAAAGTCAAAAATGCACATCAGTCTGATCGTAATAACGTTTTCTTCTTCAATTCGAATGTTATATTGGAAGGATTTTACACAGGCTTGATGAAAATTATGATTTAACGCTAATTTTCCCGAATTTTATATGCAGTCTGTCAACATTATCATCATCATGCAGTGGCGACATCTGCGTTGAGCTTTTACGGCAATCTTCCAATTACAAGTAGTAAAACGTATCATTACTCGCTATTTCAAAACTACCCAAAAATGGGTAAACTGTGTTGGGAGTGACAAGTTGACGAATGAACAACGTCGATCGGATTCATGTCGAAGTTCTTCGTCTTTGTCAACTTGTCACTTCAAACACAGTTTACCCATTTTTGGGTAGGTTCAGTTTTGGCCGATCATGGTGGATTGTACCCAAATTTGGTTAGTTTTAAAATATCGTTTACATTATCTAATGGTTTCAAGATTCGAATAACAATTTTTTATAGCAAGTGAGTGCAACGAGTGCAAGCAACCCTGCCTTTGAGGCTGTGAACCATTTGCCGAGTTAAATTTAACTCGTGGTTAAAAGTGACATTTCGAAAGTTATTTTCTATGTTCGAAAATCCCCGTGCTGTCGATCGACCGATTTTCGACCCACGGTTGTAAAAAGTTAACTTCTTGTCTAAAAGAAATAACCATGCTCGGATAGCAGGGTTCATCGATAACTTTCCATCTGTCAAATTTTAACCAAAAGTTAAAAAAAAATCGCCAAATGGTTCAGAGCCTGAGTAGATTCGTTTTCAGTATTTGACAGCCATCAACCTACTGGTGACATCTGTTGTGAAAATACGACTGTTGCTGGTAATCCATTGACGGCACCGTCGAAAAATTTGCTCTTCCAGCAAATATAGACAGTTTCTTATGGAAATTTTCGGTGGAGTGAAAGGATAGTACAAAGTCCTCCATGTTTTACGCACAGTCTGACGTTTGCTTATGAATTTTCTCATAGGAGTAAGAGCTACAGAGTCGCCGTCAACACCAATTCGTACAACCAGTTCATTCAACGTTCATTCTCACACATAGAACCGTTATCTATCAAACGCATCGCAGCAGGGAAACGCAAATGTGTTGGTTAGAGTAGTACAGTTACAGTTATTTCGGAGTGTCGATCGGGTACAGAGTTCATTTGCGCATTTCGTCAGCTTATTTCTGCTTTTGTTTTGATTCTATTTTTCTTAGCAAATAGTAAGGAAAAAGAACTACCGCGAAGAAAATTTGTGCATGGATGGAAATCATTGACGATGGGGTTTTTCATTAGGTAAATTTTATTTTTAGTCGTGCTATGAAACACCCAATGAAAGCAAGGCAGCGAAACGCATAGGAGAAAAGCAGCTAACAGACAGAGACAGTCAGAGCTTGCGAAAGAGAGAAGAAAGTGTGTTGTGTAAACAACTTGTTTTTATGCGAATCCTGCATTGTAGAGAAAAAAAAATCGCTGAAGCAGTTTTGTCAGAATCTTGGAAGAGAACGGATCGATGGTGGAAGTTGTTGTGGAAAGTTTAGTTCCGGTTTTGCAGTGAAATTGAACTGTCACTTTTAGCTAGGCTAGCTAACCTCGAGTTGGGTGCATCGGTTCGCAATAATTTTGTCGTAATTCCGATTTTTTTCGGAAAAAAAAGTGCCAAAAAGCGATTTAATTTCCAGCAATTGAAATGGATAAGCTAGATTTACTGCTAAATGTGCATAGTAACCTGGAACCACCTAAACCTGACGGCAGTACATATTTGATGCGAGGCAACTACCATTATTATCACTATGGATGTGATGGATTTCAAGATGTGGTAAGATATTAATAATGTTTCGGAATGCTGTATGTCAGATGGAAAATGCTTGTTGTTCAATTATAATTTTTGTGCTCATACCTACTTGGAGATCTAAAAATAGAGCATTTTGATTTTCCTCCCTTCGAAAACAGAATTTAACCAGAGGCTGAATGTATCGAAAAAAAAACAATGTTACACCAGAAGCGCATGTTGAAGTTCTATATTTATATGGGTTATTGTTCATATATTCGCTTATATTTTTGCCACACGCCTACCTTCTTTACGCTCAATATGCTGGTAGTGCTGTGATGGAACTGTTTCTTGACTTTAGTCTACGTCATTCGGTAGCAAGCGCCAGTCAGTTCCAATGCCGCATCGATTTCATCTGTACCAGACCGAGTATGAAGTTGGATGTAAGAATAGTAGTAGAAATAAAAACATTTTGCAGAGTATCACTGCTTGCTCGTCACGGTGTAGAATCTACTTATGTGTCTTTTGAGCTTGAATTGATAATCAAAAGCAGTATTGAGAACGCTAGTTTAAGCACTGTGAAATATGATCATATAGGTAATCAACCTTCTCTTGTGGTTTTTATCCGGAGGATGAAAAATTAATGTAGAGAAACGGATGTGTTTTGATGGAAGCAAATCCTTCAAATTCAACGGTTTCATTAATTTAGATACTATCAATATTAATTCATAAGAGCTTGAGAGTTAAATTTAACTTCCAAGCAATGGCTTAACTTATCATAAATAGATCCAAAACGATTTTAATATGTCAAGAATATTGCATTGTTTTGTCACACTTTTGGTAATGAAATATTCTGAACTATGTGTAGAATGTGAACTTTAGCGTACGCTTGCAATGAATTTAATATGCAATACAGCCTTTACCTTTTTATTCAGCAAACAATAATCGTTGTATCGGATTACACAATGTATAGTGGGTTCATAGATAAAGACATCTGAGCTTCCCTTAAAAACCGCGTCCGTAGTGAAAGAAAATCAAATAAAAAAAAATCAGTATCAGCCCCTTTCATAAGAGGCTGTACCAAAATGTTCTATAGTGGAACAATTTTTATTTTATTTTATCAGCCCCCTTTGAAAGTTGTTTTGTTTTTTATCCAAGTAACCATCAATCCCGATATGCAAAAAATGCAATATAATGCTGATTAGGCTAATAAAAAAGGACCGTTATCGAGCTATTAACGGGCTTGGTGGTTGGGTAGTATTCTACGAAACCCCCTTTCGCTGGACATGGGTTTTGACATTACTAAAGTGAAGGTTTATAATTATAATCTTCCTTAGTGGAAAATAGCACGTGTATGACACTTCAGTACACCTCAGACGATTAGTTCATGGATTTTAATAGAACTTCCTTGATTAAATCGGCTGCTTCACGCAGACTGAGTGATTCTAATATGTATTTATCAGATTTGTTCGGTAAACAGAGGAACCGGGCGGGCTTAATAGAAATTTCTAACCAACAAAAAAGTACTTTTCAAATTAGTAATATTCGAATTAATTTTTATGTCATTCAAACAAAACTGTTGTCAGAACTTTTCAACAAGTTTCAAAGCTAACACATGACAATGACCCAAACAAAAAAACGATTTGTAGGAGAATTTGGAATATAAATTAAAATTTAACTATAATATATTTTTCTTTTTAAGCATGTATTCTACATCTCAGGGCACAAGGCTTTACCAAATTACTAGATATTGAAACTAGGACATTGGGGGTCCGCTTATGAACACATGCGCGGCGCGATCAAATACAATTACTTTCAATGTAACTTCTTTACGGTCAATACTTCTTCATGACAGCTAATGTCTCGATTTTGTAATCGCAATACAAGCAGTTAAGCTACAAAGACCTAGTGAGCATCATAGCTCGAGTCGTCTATCAGTATTGTGTGTTAGAGGCCAACCAATATAATACTGCAGTTGGTAAACTCTCAGAAAAAATATCAATATGAAATTCTGTAGTATTATTGGTACAATCATGCTCTATGCCGAGGGAAGTCGAGAAATTGTTCAACCCCAAAAATTCCTAGACTGGAGCGGGAATCGAACTCAGTCGCCTCCAGCATGGTCTTGCTTTATAGCTGCGCCTATACCGACTGAGCTAAAGGAGGGTGTTAATTACGTCTAAAAGGTAGAACATTTCGAAACTGGCCTCAAATGGACGAGAAGTACTTCATAAGTGGTGGGTGTTTCAGCTATTTTGATTTTTGACGTAGGACTACGTTTTTGTTTTCTATATGGGGGTACATTTTGCGAGTTCAAAAAATGAACATGTAACGAAAAGGGTCAGGTTTTGAACGCATATTTATCCAAAGCATTACTAAATTTAACTAAAATTGGTAGCATCAAAATTTCCCATACATATGCTTAGACCACAAGCCATCACATAGTTGGTCCCAAACGAAACAAGCCGAAGCCGCATTTCCTTTGGAACTTCGGACGTGTTCAAATCGATCGGCTAACACACGACATGAGGCTCCCCGCAAGCAGCTTGCTACCAAGGCTGTCTGCAAGAGCGCTCTAGCCAGAGAAGTAGTGAAGAAGCCACACCGCCACTGTTCGGGTACAGTTGCTCATCGTGAGAAACACCACTGTGGGCCATCTTCATCAAGCTCGTCATCCTCATACCGAAGATCATCAAACTAGCTCACCATATCAGTAGCGAAAGTTCTTACAGATCTCAGAATTCCCCAACCACGACAAAGATCGAACAACCCGGTACCGTGCATCAAACCCACCGCTGCCAGAAGAATACGAACCTGTAATAAGTGGCGTCACGATATAGTGCGTGTTGTTCATCGTAAACTGGAGATCCGTCTAATATCAAGGCTACACTTTTGCCTAGGGCAAACAGCCGGGTAATTTGCTTGCCGCTCGACAGATGACCGCACGATCAAACGAAAACCGTCCTTTTCAGGGCGACAAAAATAATTCCCCTTAAACCAACCAAATCACCAAAACGGGCCTTTTGAGGACCATAAAACATCAAAACGGCCCTTTTCAGGGCCACCACAATTTTCAAAGAAAGAGTTAGTTTGGAATGTTTTCTAACACAAGAATAATTACACATGAACTGAAAAAAGAATCTTATTAGTAATAAACGGTAAATGGACAGACCAATTATTACAATTCGTAAGAAATCAACGGATGTCATAAAATATCGGGAATTTTAAATAACTTTCGATCAAAATAGTTAACATATGTGAACGTAGTTCTATGTGAACTGTTCGTACAGCCCCATTGGGCTGTCTCTTGTAGTTTTTTATTAATTAATTTAATGCTTAAAACTAAAGTAAACACATTTTTTCTTCCTTCCTTACTGGTGCTATTCGCAATACCATTCCCATTTAAATATGAATGAGAAACTTTTCTGAAGTCAAAATTATGATTCCTAGATTTTCTGTAAAATATTCATTGAAACGTCTAACATTCCTGCCTTGGAAACGGCGCCGATGGTGTAGTGTTAAGCGTGATTACCTCTCACCCCAGCAGGCCTGGGTTCAATCTCAGTCGGCGCCGCCGGGATGTTCTGAGGCATAACATCTCTGATCACGCCTTCCTTCGGATGGGAAGTAAAGTCGTAGGTAGGGTCCAGGTGTGGGAGCTGCCTTCCTGGCACGTCGGTAGCATTGGTGCTCAGCACGGAAAACAAGATCGACGGAAAAAAACAAACCAAAGGAAAAAAAAAATCTGCCTTGAAGGTCACTATAGATAGCCTATCATGTAGAATAGTATATAAATTTGTTATAAATCGTATGAAATATAAATTAGATATTTTGTATACTATCCATACTTACAATTTACAACAGAATTGAGTTTACCTTATCTACTGAACTGCAAGTTCCACTGAGTGATTTTACATAAAGGAATTCAGAAAATTATAGCCATTTCGATGAATCACAATTCTTAAAATTTCAGCCGAATAATTAGCTAAAGATGTATCATGCTGAACGTCATCTAAGTTATCTTGCAGTTTATAGTTAACAATTAATCACATCTTCCATACGTTACATTGCGCCGACCGTGAATCATTGTGATCGGATTTGATGGTGAGATAAATGCTACCCTTTGGGCGGAAGCAACAGATCGCGCCGATACACAATCAAAACCGCACCGGCCAGATGGAATCAACCCAAACAAAGAAGATGAAAAGGAAATTAAACAATTCTACGTGATCACCAGTAATTAACGGCAAGTGGTCACAACCGAGACAAAGCAGACTGAAAGTGCAACCAACTGGCGGCATTGCTAATCCAGCTAGCAACCACATAGGTACATATAGTTAGTATCTATAGCTACCGACTGTTTTGCGTCGATCGGCGCGCATCACAAAAGCTGCGAAATGCCGCACATATGCAATTCAAATGATCGTGCAATTAGATTGTTATGTCTCGTTGTCTGTCGATCTTTGCACGCACGGTGGCATTCACTTTGCGCTCGCTGCTGTTACTCATTTCGCGGCGATCGACTGGATCTTTTCAATCTCAAAGCTTACGAGAGAGTTTAGCGGTAGTGGGAAAATCAAAGCGTTAAATGACATACAGATGTTTGCAATAAGTGGTTGTTTGCAAGCAATATGCTCAATTTGTAACACATTACGGATGTTGCTTACTATAGTAGGTATCCGTTAAGTCGAAATCTTCAATCGGGCGGAATTTTGAAACAAGTGTGGGCTAGACCTTGATTTAAAACTTATTTCCGAATAAACATAGCACTTTAGCTTTCCACCAATTTCAATAATTGTTAATAAGTTTTTGGCTCAAGCGGTCCTCTAATTGGTCCTATTTAATTATTTACTAAAATTTATTTCGTAGTCATAAGGTTAGAACATAAATTGTGCCACATTCTATGCAAATGAAATCATGAAACAATATTTCAAATTAGATTTGAGCCTGGAGCCTGAAACTGGAGCATTAGTACCAAAATTGTAACCAAAATCTGAGAAAAATTTCTGATTCGAATAGGGTTGAGGATTTAAAAGTAAAAAAAAAGC